CTATGTTTAGGAACAAATGAGTAAACCCTAAAACCAATGTTTAGTGTAATGTTTCTTGGCAATGAAAAATAAATAAAACTGAATTGATTCTATGATATAAATGTACCACTTTAGACACTTACACTGTTATTATAAGTCAATAGTACATTTCCTATCATGAACATTACTGGCCAAGTCCAAAAATCCTAATATTTCTGGGGTATGTCATCAAATTGTGAAATTGTTATACTATTAGAATAAAGTTATATCATTTTGGAAACTTTATCCTCCAGGAGAAAATTATTTTAAGACCAGATTTTAAATAACTGTTGAAATAGTTTGTATAACAGGATGAAACTGAAAGAAAATTTACAAGATTGGTGTTTTGAAACAATCTTAATATATTAAAAATACGTACTGATTTTAATTCCATTTTATGTAAGCTACCATACTTAGGGCATTATGGTTTTGCTTTCATTTGAACAACAAAGATCGAAAGAGTATGTTATCCATGTAACATAGAATCACATAAAAATGCTTGGAAAGACATAGAAACGTCTGTTGTTGTTGTTGTTATTTGCCGTCGAGTCGGCCCCGACTCATAGCAACCTCTCCTTGGGTTTCCGAGGCAGTATCACTATGGAAGTAGGATTGCCCAACCTTCCTTCGGAGGAGTGGCTGGTGGATTTGAACCGCCAGCCTTCTGGTTATCAGTCAAGTGCCTTAGGCACTATGCTACCAGATCTCCTTACAAATGCCTAGTAGAGGGCTCTTCAGTTTTATATATATTAAACTAACTATCTCTGGTGGTGCAATGCCTAAAGCATTGACTGCTAACCAGAAGGTTGGCGGTTCAAAGCCATCAGCCACTCCACAGAAGGAAGACTGGGCAATATACTTCCATAAGGATTTACCACCTTGGAAATCCAATGAGCATCTCTATGATTTGGAATCAACTCAATGGCAATGAGTTTGGTTATGGTATTTTTATACCTCCCAAGTTCCTATTAGGTGCATAACAAATAATATAAGAAATGCACCTCCCCAAGGAAAACTTAACCTTTAATGTAAGAGTAATTTCAGCAGATTACAACTTTTCTATTTATGACTTTTGACCTTTCTACAGTAAAATAAATGAGGCAATTTCATCCCCTTCTTTATGTTGTGTCTTCCTTAGAAATCAACATCATATCTAATTAGGACCTTTTATATTCTTTTTGAGAATTGCACAGCCTCTTCATGTTTTGTTTGTTTGTTTTGTTTTGTATTTGCTTCATTAGCATTACTTAGCAGACAAAAGCCAAAAAGAAAAAAAAAAATGAAGCCTGGAAGAAAAATCCCAAGGGAAATAGATACATTGCTGGGAATTAAATTACTTATTTGAAAATTAAGAAGCAAAGGAACTAAATATTAACTAAATTTCATAGTGACAAATATGATTTTTGCTTGATCAAAACCTCTGATACTTCACATTTCTCTGAGGATGTATAAAGAAGCAAAATCACTGTTAGTAAGAAAATGTCTGGTGAATGGAAGGTAATTTCTTTATCTTTACCTAAACATTTGGTAGTCAAGCACTTTAAATATTAAGCTGAAGCCTGCAGCTTTACAATTAAATTCACTGAAATAGAATTTAATATATTAATGACTTAAAATATAATTGAACAAACAATTTTTTTGTAGAACTTGTAGACCCTTTTTCATCAAACCTGGAATCACATAACCTGTCAAAGAATACAATGAATTTGAGTTTGGTATAAACATTGAACAGTGGGTTAAATGTTCAAGTACCTAATTTTTAATGGCTGGGGTTGTGCATTTGTCTGACAAATTTGAGTTTGAATTATTTGGATCATTTTCTAATACGTGCCATAAAAATAAATAGTGTACACGTTTAAATGTGCTTTCTCTCTTTCTTTTACATTTCCACAACCTAAAAACTATTTTGGTTTGAAAAATAAAATTTAACAGCCTTTAATTTGTCATGTGGAATCTGATTCTATGTGTTTTTTATTACCACCATATATTTATCTAGTGAAACATAAAATGGTTGTGATAATAGAGAATTTAAAGTAGCTTTTGCACATGAGCAGTAATGTTAACTAATATGGTGAATAAAGGCTGAAAGTAAATTGTTGGAATGTCCGTTTCTTGTGATATTTTTGCTAAAGTGAGATATCTTAGTTAACTGTTCTAGGTGCCACACCATTCTTGTTAAGCTGTAAAAACCATTGCTGGACAGAATGAACAAAACAGAAAGTAATTTCAAATGTAATCAAAAGCCTCCTATATTTATTTAATTTTCAAGCTGCCATACAATATGTGTGATCACAGCACATTTCAAACTCTAAGCCCACACCTTGTTTTGTGTGTGCGTGGGGGAGAAACACTCTGATATTCCCATGTATTCATTCATATGTGACCAAAGTATGACAAAAGTTGGTATAATCTAACATCACCAATTCCTATTGTCTCTATCTCAGGTATATCTCATGTCTCTAGCCTCTCTACACAATTTCTCTTGACACTTGATTGGGCATCCAATTATATTTCATTTGGACTATTCTGATAGCCACATTTCTGTTGACAGCACCAGCATTTCAATATTCCAGCCCACTTTTTCATTTCTGCTAGATTTATTTTCCCATTAAAGAAAGCTGGCCATAGAAACCTATGAACCTATAAGATGAAGACCAGATCCTGAATTTGGCATACACATTCCAAAACAGAATCTATCTCACTTAATACCCCACACTCCAATGAATTCCCGGAACTTGTGTCTTCTACCCTGTTTGCTTTTACTACTTACCTATCAAAATGTCACATTCTCATGTGAAGCTTTCTGGACCCCCCACAGTAAAATTAATTGATTCATTGGAGTGTGTTTCCACAACACATTGTTCATATTCCATTTAACAAATTAATTTTATTATTATTTTATATGTCCATTGTCTTAAAACATTCAGAGCTCCTTTGAGATGGAGATAATTGCATTCATATTTGTATCTTTTGTGATTAACACAATGCCCTTTAGCATATGGAAATAAATAGTTTCCCTAAACATTTGTTGAATGAATGAAAAATGAATGCATGAAACCAAAAAGTTTTGGAGAAAATGACTACATAAAAATGTTATTAGAAAATCTTTTAAGTATAGAAAAACAATTCCAAGGGGTTGTCAAATTTCATTAATTATTACTTTAAGGCTATCTTGAGAGCCCCTCCTACAGATCAATATTTTCTTCTCAATTTACTGAATGAGGTATTTTTCATCAGAATGTACTTCCATTTTTCCAGTGAGAACCAGTAGGAGACTATTTTCTTACATAATTTCAGCCAGTGAGTAAAGTTGTAAAACAACTATTCCCTAAAGTAGGTATTTGTATTTATTTAATATACACTTGTGTGTAGACATACAAGAACCTTTTGTTATGTTTTTAATTATGCCCTATATAGGTATCTATATATTTCTACTTGCATATATGAAGTAAAACCATAAACCAAGGAAAATTATTTTCCAGAGAAGAATTAGAGATTCATTGAGCTAGATTCCTTCATAATTATGCTGTCTTCAGATCACTGACTTGAATATGATTGATAGAAGAAGGGTTAATGAAATTTTATAAAGAAATAAAACCATGTGTGAGCCTAAATATTAATGAATATTCACAGATACATAATACAAGATTAATAAGGCGCTCTGGTAGCATAGTGCTTAAGGCACTTGACTGATAACCAGAAGGCTGGCGGTTCAAACCCACCAGCCACTCCTTGGAAGAAAGGTTGGGCAATCTACTTCTGTAGTGATACTGCCTCGGAAACCCAAGGAGAGGTCGCTATGAGTCAGGTCCAACTCAATGGCACAAAACAACAACAACAACATTATATTTTGTAATTGAATATCAGAGAACTCTATTAGACACAGATTCCATGTCATTTTCTATGACTAATAATAAGATTGAATTAAATACTAATGTCCTTGCCAAATGTATTTTAGTCATAGAATTCTTTCATTCTAATGTAAAAGGAAGATGTCAATATTTATAAATCAAATAGAATAACTTGACTTGAGAAATACATGTGAATGCAATGACAAAAATTTGTTTTGCCTTTAAGTGTGAAAATATATGTAATTTTTCCTGTGTTTTCTCCTAATTGAAGGAATGATGCCTTATTTGAATTATGTGTAATTAAAGACTGTGCATTTTTTACAAATGTTATAACTTTTTAAACCCAATAATTGATGATATAAAATAGTCACCTTTATAAAATTACAATTAATGATCATAAGTTTAATTACCTCATATAAAAAGTCAAAGATATGGTCACTGAGCCATTGGAGAAAATAAATCTTAACCATCTTACTCGGATTAAATACTGCAATCGTCTGTATTTTCCTTCCAACATTTCTTTCATGTACATAATATAATATTCTTATTCCTTCATTAGTTCTTTCATTTTATATCATAATTTTCTACAATTGGTCATATGATAAAGGACAATGTCTTAAAAACTAACTAATGGTTATCCCAAAGTTACTGAATTTTAGCTTTATGTATAGCCACTATTTTTTTTTCCTTTTATGATGTGCTATCTGATCATGCCAATTTCTAATGGATACTTAGCCATCTATAAAAAAATTAGCGTATTTGAGCTTTGCCTTTTTTTCTCATGAAAAGCTCAGAGTTATGTCTATGGGTATAAAGTCACCTGTCTAGGACTAAACTAATAATTATTAGTAGTAAAAGTATTTTCAAAAATTTGAGAAAGTAATAGAAAGAAAGATCAAAGATACACCTTAGTCTTTGTGAACAATACATTCCTGTAATCCCCTCAGGAGCAACCATACAATTTGATATCAGCATGTAAGCTCTGAAAATTATGTTATCATTTATTCCATTTTGGGTGTCACATGTTCTCAAACCTTTCCTATTACTTACAATACAAGATAGGATTAGCCTATTTAAAAATCCTTCTATTATTGGTGATCACCTAAGCTACTTCTTCCTTTCCTTTTTCAGAATGAAGAATAAATTTTGGTATTTTGAGTTTGGCACATCTGAGACTTTCTCAGCCACCTGCAAGAAGCTACATGAATCAGTAGAAATAGAGGTAAGAACAAGGGGCTGTCTTTTCTAATACAATGAAGTGATCAAGTGTGGTTAAAATATTTGCATTGTAGCCTTGGAATGAATTATATTCATTCATCTTGAAGATATTATATATCCTCAAGATTCTAAAATATCAGTTCTGTCACTCAGTAGGAATATAGCACTATCTAAAATATTAATACAAAGTTAAGTTTGGATATGAGTTGTTTCAATACAGTATAAAAGAATGAGAGATAGAATACAATTTTAAAAATCAATGGAGAAATTACTGGCTATAGTGTGGATAGGAAAATGGTAGATAAAAGAAAGTAGTTGAAAAGAAAGGAAAAAAGTTGCAAGATACATAAGAAAAGTATTATTTTGAGGTCTCACTATTTTATGACCTTTAAAGCACAGTTCACAAAAATTGTACTTACTTTCATGATTAAGGGTTAAAAAAAATACACTTTTCCATTCCATTCCCATTCATTACTAAGATTTTTCAGTTCCCAAGGTATTTCCCCATTACATTTATAGAAAGTGGGAGGGAGCAAAGATAGCAAGATATGACATATTAAAAAAAAAAAAAAAAATTAGAGCAAATAGGTCTATCTCCAAAAATGTAGAAACTGTAGGACTAAAAATTTAGCAAACAGGTTATAAGAGACAATGATTTAGCTATTAATGAGAAATTATAAGGGTTAAAGAAAAAAAGAAAAGTTATATTTTGACAAGTTGTAGAGACAAAACCAAAGGGACAGAATTATGAAGCAACTTGAACACTTAATTACTAGCTGATATGATTTGAAAATTATTGGCTTCAACCCTTTGCACTTTAAAAAATAAATGCATAAATGTTCTTCTGACACAAACTATTAGTGGTATAGGTAATAAGCTTGGTGAATAGAAGTAGTTATGAACCACAAAGGATCATATTGGCTCAGATAGTCATCCTAATGTTCTAATTTATTATTAATAGTAATAATACTATTAATTACTGTTAGTAATATCAAAAGTGATATTACATTGCAAAGTAACATTTTTGCTCTTTTTTTCTCATCAGAATTGGACATTAAGTTTCAGTATTAGAAATATATTTGATGCTTATGGAATGGGGAAGAATTCCTCATAACTTGATATGATCATAATCATGAAAAGAATAATGATCACAGAAGATGAAGGATTTGGGTTCAATACACACACACACACACGTATATATGTATGTATGTGTGTGTGTGTGTATGTGTATATATATATCATCTATAATTCTCTTTTACCTTCAAAAACCGTTTCTTACGCTTAGAAACCTATGCTCAAAGAATGTCTGTAGCACAAGCCAAAGTGAAAAGAATTTTAAAAGTATCCCTTCTTGTTGAATTTAGAGTGGAGATTGAGTCTCCTGCATTAGACTCCACTCTCTTTACCTTATCCTAACCTTAAGCATAGGTTGCTATATATAAACTCAAAGTAACAAATATTCAAGAAAACATTGAGAGAGATATTTGATAGCCATGTCACATTCATAGTACAAAGGCACTTGAATAAAAGTAATTTGGGAAATAGCAATTTTGAAGTTATAAATAATAACAAATGCGAATAGTTTTGTCCACAGAGCTTTACATCATACAGAAAGAAAGAAAGAAAGAAAAAAACACTGTTTATAGTGCTCCCCAAGAAATGTGAGCAACTAGAACTAAGTTCCTTTTGTTTAGATCATGTTTCTACATGTCCTTCAAGCAGGGCTTCCCTGCTCTGCATGTACCGGCATATGCTGGGACCAATTCAATAGAGTTTCTAAATCAGAGCCAGAGCTGTGCATTTCCCATCCATTGTTGCATATCTGGAAATACTGTTGTAAAACTTGGGGGGGGTTGTTTATGACAATAATTCCAAATCTGTCTCTCTGCTCCCTTTTTAATGAATCCAGTCTATCATATTAGCAGAATACGCCTTTCTACCCTCAAGGTTACTTCATAATTAAATATAAGAAAAACAGCAATTCAGAAATTTGATTCTGTTTGCTGTTGCTTCCTATTTGCCCTAAAATCATACCAAGTATGGTTTGAAAAAAATGTAACAGATAACAAGTAATAAGAGAATCTTAAGTAATGGATAGCTATTTTATAGGCAGTTTCTTCAGAAACAAAGCATTTGGTGTGTATCTCTTTGTTTTACATTCTTTTTTCATATAAAGATCTCCTTCCAAGGGGTGGATATTTGGGATGAATGCCATTTCCATAGCCAAGAATGTTCATTCCCAAATACTGAGATCTGTTTTCATGATTAAGTTCTATATAAAGCCAAATGATCTCAAGAATTAGCAAAAGAAAGATGAGCTTCAGGATCACAAAATACATTAGCAGGATTCTAACGGACAACATTCTATCTGGTCAGTAATCTGGAAAGCAGAGAATAATGGTAATAGGGCAGAATAGGGAATGGGATAGGTGATTCCCAGTTTAGTAAGTACACCAACTATCATGTTAATTAAAAGCACCTTTGATGCTCATTCAGCTTACTTTGGGAGGTTCTTCATGATTAATCCTATTTTTGTTGTTGTTAGTTGCCATCAAGTCAATTCTGACTCATGGTGATCCCATCTGTGCAGAGTAGAACTACTTCCTAGATCTTTTGGAAGCAGATCACTAGGGCTGTCTTCCGAGGAGCCTCTGGGTGGGTTTGAACCACTAACCTTTTAGTTAGTAGTCTCGTCACCTGGGTGGTGTTTTGCACCACCCAAGGATTCCTTTGCCCAGTCCTAGACCTACTGAAACAAAATATTAGGGTGAAAGGAATGAAACTTGTAAATGTACATTCTTAAAATTTTCGTAGGAGATTATTATCTGCAGTAAAATTCCAGAAGCACTGAAGAGAGGAGTCAGGTAATAGTGCAGATTTCAACAAAGTGGGCCAAAGGAAACAAAAGTGGGATCATAAAGTCTAAAATTTAGAACAACTTATTACAAGAAAGGAAGTCGTGTGTGTGCGGAGGGAAGAGAGTAGAGGGAGTGCATGTATGCATATTGCTGGCACTTCATTAAGATAAACACATTTAAGTTTTTCTCTCTTTTTTGTCTTAATGAAGGAAATAGGGAGTAAATGAGACAGATAAAAGATGTGAATGGTTAAAGAATAAAAATTTTCTGTTGTACTTACTGGAAGCTATTTTTAGTAAGATAACTTTTAGAAAGTTTACCTAACATTCCAGCAGTAATTTTGAGCTTTCATAGAATCTGCTAAAAAATAAGAAAAACATTGTGTAAAATGACATTTTTTTACTGCTAATACTTATAGATGGTGCTTGATACCTTGAGCCAGTAGTATTATTGTTATCACTGCCAACATGTACAACAGCTATGTGTGTGCACAATCTACGTGGTACCTCTCATGAGTTTTTGTTGGCAGGGTTTACTTCAGTCTTCCTCTTGGTTCCCTAGTATCTTCATTCCACTCGAGGACTACTTTCGATTATCTGTACTCAGTATTATCATCCCCATTATTGGACTGCCAGTTAATGCTAAAATGACCTATAAGACATGTTCTGTATTCCTTATTTTACATTGTATATTATAGACAGACACATAAAATGCATTTCAAAACATATGGAGCTTATCCACAGGGAAAACATGGAGTATCACAGCTTTCAAATGCCAGAAGACATATTTTTAAGCCCTTTATATATGTGTATCTATTTTAATTTTCAGGAGCTCTGGTAGCATAGTGCCTAAGGCACTTGACTGCTAACAGAAGGCTGGTGGTTCAAACCCACCAGCCACTCCTCGCAAGGAAGGTTGGGCAATCTACTTCTGTAGTGATACTGCCTCAGCAACCCAAGGAGGAGTCGCTATGAGTCGCGTCTGACTCAACGGCACATAACAACAACATTTTAATGTTCAGGTTTGCTGTTGTAGTTTTCTTCAAATACATACGTAATTTTGTCTTATGTTAAAATTCTTCATAAAGAAGACTTAGATGAGTCATTTGTCATTTTACTCCATGTTATTTTATACAATGAATAAAGCAGTGCTTTATGTTTCATTGAGTAAGATTATGAATAATTTCTATCTGACCTAAGCATATAAAGATGCACTATGGGAAAAAGTATAGCTTATCATTAGTTGTATCTCATTGAATGTATTATCCATACATAATTCTCTCAAAAGTTCTTCACATGTTTTTTAATTTTCCTGTCAATTCACGTGTTAACTGTATCTTAAACACTAAATTCACATAAAGATCTTGTCTGTAGTAGCTCTGAATAATATGACCCAGGGCGTATTTGTAAATTTGTGTTAAAATACGTAGAGCAGGAAATTAGGTAAATTTCTCTTTGCTGTAAGATCTATTTCAAAACTGAAAAGAATGAACTAAGATATCATGGCATTGCACTCTACAAATAGCTCCTGTAATATTTGTGTTAATGATCTTTTTTCTACATAATAAAAATTTTCAGGATTTATTGACTAACTGAGACTGTTAGCTTTTAAGCTTTTATATTTTTCTGTAGCTACCTTGTTAAAAGTCATAAATCTTCAACGTGGATAAAAATATTATCTGACACAGTACTATAACTTGTTTATATTTCATAGCTTTCACCTCAGCTTTTATTTCCATGCATTCAACTGGTGTGCTACAATTTCTGGTCTCCATCAGAACTAGCACTGAAATTTTCCAGACTAATGAACATCATGCTAAAGCAAACAGAGGAAGGTAACCTGGGGTCAAGAACTAGTGGAAACAGATCATTAATAAATAGCGATTTATTAAAGTATATTGTCCTGCTCTCACAGGAACTGCAGTGTTCTTCATCAGTCCTTGTTTTTTGTGACTCCTTGATTTTTTTTTTTTTGTCACTTCTCAGAGAGCTACTTACTGTTGTTTCTCTAAAACTACACATGACAAGACTCTGAAGAGTGAAAACATGAATAGTATATACTGATATTTTTCAATTGTCACATGTAACTCTGCTCCTTCAATTTAAAAAAAAAAAAAGTCTATTTGCAGCATACCCTTTTTTCTACAGATGAACAAAGGAATACTCCTTCACTAATTCTGAAAGTAACTTGTCACAGTGGGGATCTCAGGCCTAGTCAAATAATTGTCTTAGTGTACTACCTGCTGTGTTCAATATTGAGTGAAAATGGAAGCCAGGCCCCAGCTCCAGCTTATTTCACAATTCTTCTGTTATTTAAATGATTTTAGTCAGTTTGGGGGAAGCCAGACCTTTATAAATTAACAGCAGGGAAATACCAAAGGTGTCAGATTGCATATTTATCATCTTTTTCGTGTAATACTTAAATATGTATTAAGAAGTGACTGACATAAATTAGGCAGATTTCAGAAGCCACAGGCCGTGGCTTGTAGAGGACCCCCTTCTGCTTGACATTTCATCCTTGTCAAAGATCAAATTATTTTAATTTAGGCTGCAAATTATAAGGAATGAAGACTTCTTTGTGGGAATTCCCTGTGGTAATCTGACTTTTGTTGTTACTGCTGCTTGTCAGTGTGCAAAAGATATAATATGCATGCAAATAAGGTTAAAAAATATGTACTATCTAATTATCCAGCCAGTACATTCCACTTGAAGACAGTGGGAGGCCTGACACACAGTATGTGTTTGATTCATTGAGGCCTGCAGGGTATTTACACAAGATTACTTTTAATTATGAAATTAATATCTGTTTATCTAGAATGTATAGCGGTAAGTGAGTATACACATGAGCAGAATTCTTTAGTAAAAAGAAATCATCTTAATTTAATACATAAAAAGGAGGAAAAGTAACTTGCCTCTGAAAAAGAACACATCATCAAGAGGTTGGTTTCACCCTCGTTGAAATAAATTGAATGAAAATTTGGCACTTTCTCTTGAATTTGTTTCTACCACTATCAAGTAGGCTCAAGATATGTTGCTTTATTCCACAGTTTATTGTTTTTTTGTGAACATGATTCAGTATGAAGAGGAGACTATGGAAAGGAGAGTTTTTAATAATTTTAGTGGAACAATACCTCTTCTAGATCCCAAAATCATGATTTTCATGAGAAAAATTATGATAAAGTGAGTATCAGTCATTTTTTTGGTAATGAGACAAGGCAAATGAGACAGTCACACTATAGGTATACATCATGTTATAAAGTGCACATCCCTAACAAAGTTATTTGTAAAACAAAATGTTTTATGTTCAAATCACATTTCATATTGTCTTATTATCGGAAATAGGAGAATAATTTCTGGGCTATATTTGTTACAAGTGTCATTTTAGAAAGTTTGAAAATAGGTGAACATATAATAATTCCAAAAATGGAGAGTCATTTTGCCACTCTTCACGTGTCCTTTGGTGGAAATAAACAGTAAATTCAAAGAAAAAAATGACCACTCTGAATCCAGTAGCCTGTCCATTAGCGAGTTCCATAATTATTAATGAAAAGACTGTCTGTCCTCAGGCACAAACAAAAAACAAAATCTGGCTGAATAATTATTTTCATTTTTCAGCCTGTTGTTACAGTAGCTCTGAAGTAATAATGGGTTGGAATCCCTTTTCCTGTTACTCTTGTCATTCCCATCACCCAGCCTATGTTCTCTTCCACATTTGTTTGGCCACTCTTCCTCTTACTGCATTTTGACACCCTGCTTAGAACCTTATATAGTCAAAGAAACCATCCTGGGTCATGCCAGTGTGATTCAAATTTCAAATTTCTTTTGATTGCTGTTTACTACTGTACCTTTATTTTTTTTTCACCCCCAAAGAAGTCTCTTAAACTACTCTTTTATCTGCCAAAAAAAAATGAGACCATATATTATGAAATCTGTTTATTTACTTTTCCACAATAGTGTTTTACAGTGTGTCTGACCCCTAAGAGGCAGTCATTAAACTTTCTGTCTGAAAATTGACCAAACTTCCCATAATCAACCCCATCGTAACACACTAGAACTTTGCAGCTGGTTATATATGCAGACACTAGCCTGTACCTGTGTCAACAGTTTCTGTAAACAAAGATAGAGGTGACTTAATCTGGTAATTTTTAAGGATTATTAATGATAACTGATTAGTGTTAGTGGCTGCTTTATCTTTGATAGTGACATTTAAGTTAACTAATTAAATGTTCTTGACAGGTTTATTCAGAAATGACAGGATTTGGACTTAAAAGCTCTTATTAAAAGATAAGAAAATACAAAAGAAGAAATAAAGGGAAGAAAAATAAAATATCTTACTGTTTCTGCTTTTTTTTTTTTCCCCCCTTTTTACTGAACAGTGTGATGGAGTACAGATAGATTTAATAAACATCTCACTGGAAGGAATTGCTATTTTGAACATACCGAGCATGCATGGAGGATCCAATCTTTGGGGAGAGTCTAAGAAAAGAAGAAGCCATCGACGTATAGAAAAAAAAGGGTCTGACAAAAGGACCACACTGACAGACGCCAAAGAGTTGAAGTTTGCAAGTCAAGGTAAGTTTTCTAAAATTAAAGATTTTTCCATCCCACTATAGAAGTCATATATATATATATGCAGTTATATGTTAGGAGCTCTGGTAGTGGAGTGTCTAAGGCACTTGACTGCTAACCAGAAGTCTGGTGGTTCAAACCCACCAGCCATTCCTCAGAAGGAAGATGGGCAATCTGCTTCTGTAGTGATACTGCCTCAGAAACCCAAGGAGGGGGTCACTATGAGTCGGGTCGGACACGTTGGCAAATAACAACAACATTGTTTATATTATCCAATTAGCATGTGTTGTAAAATTGTATCATAATATATTGCAAAATCATGTGTGAACTGGCTATTTTTTTCCCCCTCTATTCTTCTTTGGATATAGCTTTTTGCTCAGGAAATAAAACACACATGGATATTTATTGGATAGTAAAATAGTGTATATTATAGATTAAGGTCTTTCTCTTATTGAACACAGTCACTATCTAGAGAGGACTGTCTTGGTGAGGATTTTTGAGTTGTAACAAGAGTAATACACTTTTCTAAGGTTTGCTGCAAGAGATTTTATTCTTGGCTTTCTTTAGCAGGCTATGGCATTAAAAATATCTCACATGAAACTATTGTTCCAATTACCATATATAGTACTATGCTTACATATCTCGGATTATATTTTGGTTATCAGTTGCTATTTCTCCAGAGAGTTATAAACAAGTAGCAGAACTGAAAAACAGAAAGCACGTGACTAACAAAGCAAGATTAAACATTTTGAATCAAGGTGCTGTCTTCTTTACAATTTTCCAGTCCAAAAGTATTATGGATCTGAATTCTAAACTCTGTTGTAATGTAGTGTAGGTTGCTACATGACACCTAATTATGGTTGATAGTTTTCTATAAACAAAGATACTAACTGGTAGTATTCTAATAACTGATCACATTCCAATAATTTACCTATAGTGATATATAATATTTCTTTTACCTTCTAAGATTTACCTAATACCTGTGATGGCATTGTAAGAGCCAAGGAAAGATCTTGGTTCTGCTAAGAATAGCAGGGAGTTAGTTTGAAGAGATTGCAGCCTTATGAGTCCATACAAATAATAAAATAAAATGTGAGCATGGTAGATGGACTTGATAATGGTGGGCATACCGTTTATGTTTTGATGCTTTCAGAGACCTGAAGTTTCAGCAGGCAGTTATTACTATTATAAGGAATTTGGTGACCATGTATGGTGACAAGATTAATAGAGAAAGTGGTCAGCATCCCCATTAAGCTATTAAAACTGCCAGTGGCAAGAGGTTTTTATGCCCATTAAATATCTGGGTAATCTTGAAGAAGTTGTGTAACTTAATATGAGTAAGCTTCTACCAAATCAATTTAAATGCTTGATACCCATGAATGGAATATAACTACATAAAAAGATAGAGGAAAATATTTTTTATGGAAACAAAATATATGGAAAAGATTAATTTAAAAAATGAAGTGAGAATAGTAATAATAATTTAATTATTATTAATATATAATATAGTAATTAGTTTCCAGGATTTGTTCAAATTTATATTTATTTCTCTACCTATAAACAGGGAGCTCTGGTAGCATAGTGCCTAAAGCACTTGACTGCTAACCAGAAGGCTGGCGGTTCAAACCCACCAGCCACTCCTCGGAAGGAAGGTTGGGCAATCCTACTTCCGTAGTGATACTGCCTCGGAAACCCAAGGAGGGGTCGCTATGAGTCGGGGCCGACTCGACGGCACTTAACAACAACAACAACAACAACCTATAAACATAAAGAAAAAAGATTTGTAAGAAGAGTATGAAAAAATAATTTATATATTAGTTCAAGGATAATACTAAGGCCAAATATATATGTACTATATATGTAAAATATATTTTGTTACTCATTTCTTCCATCTCTGCAAATATTTTATGTTATGTATATATACAAAATATTTTCCAGGTTTACTTTTTATTTGATTTCTGCATCTCAATACTTGGCATATCCTTTACATGCAGACAACAGTTTCCAGATATTTATCTGAATTCATTCTCAATGGCTCAGCTGCCAACTACATTCACCTTCTGGGCTGTTTGAAAGTTTATAAGACATGTGATTATGTTGCTCCAAGACAAGTGTCTGTGCAACCCATAGAGCTGCTGCAGACATGCCGTTTGCCTGGCCTCACTTACCAACTTCATATGCTTTTCTTAGGAATACTCATTTGGTATGAGCACAAACAAATCAAGCCACAGGTGTTGCCATAAAGTCAGTGACTACAACTAGGGAAACCTCTCTTGCTATTCTGTCTTCTCGGTTTCTAGTCTGAAACTCTTAGGACTTTGTTCCCATAAATAAAGGGAAAGAAGGAAGTAGAGGCATGTGGGGTTTGCTGCTTAGGAATTTTTCTTTTTTTTCAGTATACAAATGAGGAAAACAACAAAATTCAAGACTTTTTGAAGGTCATGGTATGAGCAATAGCAGAAACATGTTTATGACTGCTCAGATTCAACATTTTGTTCTCTTTCTTAACCAATTGCATTTACAGTTTTGACTTATTTTTATTTCAGCATAAGTATAATCTCAGATCTAAATGTATCCTTGTGAGCTATGTGTGAAAAAAATATGTAATTATGTATTCATTGGTGTTTCCTTTTTATTAATTTTATCAAGAAATTTTTTTTTTAATTTTTATATATTTTACAACAGAAGAGCCAATGCTATTTCAAAATGCTTCTAAAACTTGATTTCATGTTTACTTTCTGTTAACTCTTAAATCTCATACATAATAGTCATAGAAATAATTCACTATTTTAAACATCTACGTATGTCCCTTTGTTAAATGGTAATATCTTCTATTACTTGATTTTGTTTTCAATTTTTTTACCTAAAATCAATTTCAGTATTAAATACAAAAATATTAAATGAAGGTCTAAATATATTCAGCTTTTCACAAACTGATTAGAAGTGCTGACTTTAGGATGAAATACAGCAAATACAGCTTTCGTCTGACAAGTTTTTATTTGTTTTTTAGTATTTTTGTTTTGTTTTAAACCATATTGAATTTAATATTTTCTGTTGTTAAAAAAATAGTAGGAAAAAGGTGTAAAATTTAATAATGTGACTTCTTTTATTCAGGAAATGCTTTTTAATAAATAAATAACAAGTTTCTTGATATGCCTCTCTAAAAAACTATCGGAAGTTTAAACTAAATTATTACAATATCAGATGGAAACATATTTCTATAAACTTTAGAAAGTTTTTTTGAGGGAAGGTAAGTATACATAACTATGTTCATGTCATAGATACAAATGATTTGATTTAATAGAAGTATTCAATCTAGAGAAAAGAATTACATTTTTGTTTTAAAATTTAAGAATTGACATACATCAAAGATACAAGATCAGATTTTGAGTATTAAATCCTCCTTTCTAACATGCAGTTTGTGATCTGGCACTCTTCACACATCGTTTGCTCTCAGCCTTTGAGGACATTCACAGCTTAAGATCCAGAGTATCTTCAATTAATTAATTCATTGTTTGGGAATTTACTGTTAACAACTTAAAACTGACAAACATTGTAAGTAATTCATCTAGTTAAATTATTTTTCCAGCAAAATATTCTAAAAACAGTTGGATGCAATTCTGAAGCTCATTCATACTCACACTTATCTAATTCATAAGATATTTTCTTTGAGTTATTTTATTATAAATACATATTGTTGTTGTTGTTGTTGTTATACGCCGTAGAGTCAGCCCAGACTCATAGCGACTCCTCCTTGGGTTTCCGAGGCAGTATCACTACGGAAGTAGATTGCCCAACCTTCATAAACATAGTCTTTAAGCAAAACTGTAAAGTAAAGTAGGACGATTTGGTCTTCCATGGTCTTACCCTTTTAATATTCAATCATGTTTCCCATTTCCTTCAGTTGATAAGTTCAACTTTGCCTTCCCCTCTTCTGAGTTAAATCCAAACTTTAGAAAGATGTCTAATAAATTCATTCACATTAATGTATAAATGACTGGTTGCAGATGAAAGTAAAGGTATTTGCATTTTAAAAGAAATAAAGATGTTCAGCTAAAACATTATTTTTTATTTTTCAAACTGTTTTCCATTGAGTTGTAACGGCAATCCTTCAGCAATTCAGGAAAGTTGATTGAGATTCATTATAGCCATATACTGGAATAATTAAAAGAAACAACTATAATAAAAATGTAGTAAATTGTGCCCTACAAAAGTATTTTGTACTATTAACAATTCTCAAATCATCAATTTGTGTTACCAAAGTAAGTGTGTCTATGCATATTTAATAAGGAATATAGTACTAATGGACATATTACCACCACAACACGTGTGACCCATGTACAATTAAAATGCTGCCAAACTCAGGTGACTTTGTCTGTCACAACCACCAAACATTGCAATACCAGGGAGGTGTGTACTCATTAGATCAATCAACTATATGAAATCAAAAGGGCAGTATTTGCCCAGGGATAAAGCTCAGAAGGCAGGAAGGGATAGGAAAGAAGGACAAAAGGAAATAAATGGTAAACACAGGGAGGAAGTGGAAAATGTGCTTTACATTGTGGGGATTGCACTCAATGTCCTACAACAAAATGTGTATGAATTGTGAAATGGAAACCAACTTGCTCCATAAACTTTCACCCAAATGACAATAATAGTAATAATAATAAAATCAATGGAATTGCTTGCTTTCCTATGTATGCTTTCACCAAAATTATAATAAAATATTTTTAAAATGTCAATGGAAATAAAAACAAGGTGATGATACCAATATATTAAATAAAAACATAAATCATGTTTTAGGAATCATTTTTATCATAAAGAAGCTGCATAAGTTAAAATATCTCTCAAAAATAATATAGTTGTACCAACTTATATATTAAGATCATTTTTATCGGAGATGAGTTGTGATGTAAACAAGCTCACAACTGCAGCCATAGAACAAGCAATAATATTGAAAGTTAACTTCTCAGCTAAATATGCTGAATAAAATAACTTTGAAT